ACTACGGGAGTACCAATGTCTGATTCATCTTATTACAGTTTATTTTTTTATTTTTTTTTATTTTGCCATCCCTGGTTGTGAATGACTTTTCATTATTCAAATAATTTCATCAACATATCATTATGATCAATAGCTAATTATGGTCCAAAGCCAATGTATGAATTTCTTTATACACTTGATCACGCAATGTGGCTGACTAGACGTGATTATATCTCAATTATAACCAAAAAAAATCTGAATTTTTGTATAATTAAAATTTTGTCTGACAAAAGGGTGTCCAAATAATTAACTTCAGCTATTTTTATTCAATAATTTGTTAATTTAATTTTTTATATTTGAAAAGATGGTTTTTGGCAGATTAAAAACATTCTTAATAAAGTCATAATTCAGATTACAATTTTGACAAATTAAAATATAAATTGCACTCGTAAACCAGAAGACTAAACCTTTATGGTTGGCTTTTCATTTTAATATATTTTTATTCAATAATTTAATTTTAATTTGACTCCATAATTTTGCAAAGATCGTTTTGGTATACCCTACTTTAAATATACCTATAGTCACAATTCAGGGGAAAATGATGAATTAAAATATAACCCATATTTGTATTCCTTTATGGATTGCTTTTCAATAAATTTGTTCAAAATAAAATCTTGCAACTTGCACCTCTATGTCTATGACATAACCCAATGACAATTTAATAGTTTAAATATTGCTCTGTTTAAATTATTCTTTATCAGACGATCACTGCAAAAAAATGCAATTCAATTTCATAGTAAGAACTAACAATTAGTCTTAATATTTTAACATTAATTTTCACTAATTTTCAATAGGCATTGGTTATAGATTACTTTCGGGAATTTTTAAACATACAGAAATATATTTTTCGGTAAGAAGTACGATTGATCTCTCACTCTTATTTTCACTTATTTTCAGTTGATAGCATTTCGACAACTTTGTAGATTACTTTGATTCAGGAAGTTTTGCTTCATTGAACAAAACACTTTAGAAATATTGCGTGGATTAAAAAAAAAGCCTGATTTTGTTTCTTTAATATTTACACAGGTATTTTCAATTTATAGCAGTTTGTACGTTTGATTGACATTTTTTCATAAACACCTTTGCTAATGTAATTGACAAGAAAGTATCTCTTCTGTGATTGATTAGAGGCTGGTCTCTAATTGAAAACATTGCGCTATTATCTTGAAAATTAGTTTTGACTGATACTTGTATCTAGTTAGTAAACTTGTAATGATCTATCAGAAAAACTTATGGTAATTGGCGAGATAGTTTTTGTGAGTAATTGGCAACCAAAGTCTAATTGAGGACATTGACTGAGCCGTTCTGCACTATTTTGTTTAAAAACATTGTGTGAATGGCCACACACGAAATTCTAAAGGTCTATGAAAGAAAATCCAAAATCATACTGCCAAGAATTGTCGTTGCAGGAATATGTGCTAATTAACAAGATAGTTTTTGTGACAGATTGGCAACCAAAGTCTAATTGATGGCATTGACTGGCCAATTTTGCATTACTTTGTTTATAAAATTGTGTGAATGGCCACACACACCCAAAATTCTAAAGCACTTATGGGAGAAAAGCCAAACCCAAAATTGCCAAAAATATCCATCTTCCATTTAATTACGATCAATTACTTAGAAAATTATGTAAAAATTTTGTCTGTTAGTTTTCAGATTTCACATTATTCAAATTTTGAAGTTTTGACCAATTTTTCAATTTGCTGGATTGGGCAACCTTTTAGGTTATTGGGCTTTAAGTTATGTACTTCAATATTGCACACACTCCTAATGAAACGTCAGCAAACGTCAATGTTGAAATTTTTTTCCTAAAAGGAAGTATGATCTTGACTAGACAGAACTTCATAAATATTAAGTATAGCTATGAGGAATGCATTTTAAAACTACTGAATCTTTTTTATGTTGTCATATCTATGCTCACTAATGTACTGGAATAACAGGTGTAAAATTGCAGTTGTATTTTATTACAAAGTTCAAAATGAATATACCGGTACTCTTTCAAATCTGAAACTGGAAAATTTGATAGTTTTGACAAACGGAAATTAGACTAAATTTAATCAATAGTAGATAGTTAGCAAACTGCAACATTACAAATATATTTGAAAAAATTGAAATGTGCAAGTAAAAGTATTTTAAAATATGTTTCATAAAGCACATTATTGTGTATTGCATAATTCACTCTTTGGTACGTTATTCCAAAATACACTCAAATATAAAATCTTTCATAGCGAAATTTCTACATTTTGGTCATTGCTATTTTTCTCACATATTTACCTTGTTTTTTTTTCTCTCCATGGCTCAAAGACTAATTTTATCACCATTGATAAATGTAGCAATTTGCACTGTTGCAGATAAAACCTAATTTTATAGCCACAGACGTCAACAGCTTATGGGGTAAACAGGTCTATATATAAATAGATTGTGGCATTATACATCAAATTCTAAAGCGCTACGTTATAACCTACTTATAATAAGACAGTGATGTTTTCGCAAGTTCTGTACGGAGAACTTCTTTTCTTAGTTAGCATATTTTGCAATTTTTTCCATCAAATCTGTTCGAATCAAAACAATTTATCTATAATTTTATTTGATTATCAATTCTTAGAAATATTTATTTATGAAATACACCGTTTTTTGAAATTCATTGTTTTTTTTACTCATTTTAATATGACAGTTTGCTATGCAAGATTAATTGAATCAAAGGTTCCAAAGCTTATCAAAACTAATGACAAAATTCCATTTCATAAACATTAAATTATGGCAATAAAATGAAATAATTCAGAACATATTCGTAAATATCCTTTTTGGTGATGCCTATCTCTGGATCTGGCAGACATGGTTGAGTCCAATGGTATAACTCAGCGGTTTCCAACTTTTTTGTTAAATTCCTTTCTTCGTTAGAACTTTCTCTTTCTTCCTCAATATACATGATAACTACTTTAATTATTCAATCACTAATAAATTCCTACCAAGTATTATGTGTTAGTCACACTAATGCTTTTGTACATGTTAAGTAGTTAATGTGTATAAATAAGCATTGTAATAATGAATTATAGAATATTAGTAGTTATACCACAGCAAATACTAAGCAAAATCTCCCTTTTGAGAAAATTCTCCCATCGGTCGGGGCATTCCTTCTCGATTGCGAAACACTGCTATAATCACTAGGTCATGGCACTGCTGTCCGTGTCTGCTTTTTCCAATTTCAATTAGTGGTTCGGGACTATGTTTGGGGACGTGGCCGGAAAATTGGCCGCATAGGAAATTTCGCTGCATAGGAAAAATCGGCACATGAAAAATCGTGCCAAGAGCATTTTGCTGTAAAACAAGTATTTGTGATAAAAACAGTTAGTAAGTTTTTTTGGTGCTCTCGAAGTATGCGAACCAAGATGGCGGACATCGGAACGTAACATGGGTAACAGGTTAGGGTTAGGCGATAATTTTTTTCCAATTTTCCTTTTTTTAGTCCTATTATCAGTTCGAAGACTAGCCAAGAGCCTCCCGTAGTATTTATACCTAAAATTATGGCCTAACCCTAACCTAGTACACATATTACATTCCGATGTCCGCCATATTGGTTCGCATACTTCGGGAGCCCCGTTTTTTTAGTACCTTTTTATTCAAAGAAGATTCGTTATTTAAGAGCATACCCTAACCATATAAACCTAACTGTTTTTATCACAAATACTTGTTTTACAGCAAAATGCTCTTGCGGCGATTTTTCAGTTTTTCCTATGCCGAGATTTTTTGCTGCAAATTTTCCTATAACCTTTTGGAGCTACCTCGGGATTAATTGTGTTGTTATTAAGAGTATTTGCCACACCAGCTGAATCGTTTTAATCCCTACATTGTAATAAATAAACAAACCAGTTTATGTCATGCGTACAACAACCACATGTGTTTTTAGAAAGATAGATTGTTATCAAAATTTAATTTCAAATTTTAAGAAAATAGAGCGCAAAAACAACAGTCATAAATTATTAATTAAACTTTGGGAAAAAGTGGAATATAGTATTTCATTATAAATTTGAAGCAAGCTCAAAAAACGTTCAGCGTTCCAGAAGTGTGTGCACCAATATGAAGGTAACTAATTTTGTTCGCCTACTTTACAACATGTTGCCTAAAAGGACAGAAGCCTATTGGCTATGGGCAGGAGGTATATTCACTTGGCTAAAACAGACAGTCCTCGAACTCGTAATAAAAATAAATAAGGTTAATCAGAATAAAATTATGGCCTAACCCCAACCGGGTACACATACTACGGAAGTACCCATCGTTCTGTTCAGGAGTACAAACCAAGTGACTTTCTTTGAAATTTAGACACTCCTCTTGTGGCGAAGCCAGACATGTGTGACAAAGCTTGTGTGGGTAGTTTAACGAAAACCTTTTTTTCTCGTAATTTTTTATAGTGATTTTCAGAACTTAGCATACATTAATGCAATATTGTTGTTGTTGTTGTTAACACCCTTCGTCCATCTGGGCTTGAAGACCCAGAAACACCGCGGCTTCGATCGACGTCTCCCGTATGTCCGTTCTGGTTAAGTGTGTTGGTTTGGCTGGACAGATGAATAGAAGTGGTACTTCATGCAGGCCGATTTCGCATTAGGTGCACATTAATGCAATCAATTTTTGTTGTTGCTAATAGTTATTTTATTTTTTGAGTGGGCCATTTAGGTTTACCTAACTCTGCTGACGTTGTAGATGAAATATCTGTACCCTCGTAGTGAACCAGGTTAGGGTTAGGCCATAGTTTTATTTCGATTTTCCACACACTTCTGGAGCGCCGAAATATCTGTGTTGGTTCAAGTCAACTCTTATGCAAAAACAGACAAAGTCAAGTCAACCTGAACATAAAATAGTGATAAACAGTTTTGATTTTATCTGGTTTTCGAGACTCTATTTATGTTACTTTTAAGTTTGTGTTGAACAAATTTTTCAAAATCATTTTATTTCTTTTTCAGTATCCGATCTGTGATGACAAAATATTTATGCGAAAGAGGACTTGTTACTTTTGATGAAGTTTTTGAGCAGCATATCGGTAAGTTTGGGTTTAGGCTATCAAATCTTTTCATTACTAGGTAATGTGCGCAGGTCTACTGCTTTTCAAATGTAGCGTGTTCTGAATCTGGAATATTTATTTTTATTTGGGAAATATAAATTATTACTGTACAAGGCATACATATTGAATGAATAGTGTTTCAAGGAAATTATTATGAGGTGATTTGCTCTTTACTATGGTTCTGTACCAGCAACCTTTAATATATAAGGAGCATTACTATGTATTGGGAAAGGACAGGAAGCTTCCTGACCTGACCCAGCATGAGGTTTCAAAACATGGCTGAGGTTCCAACAATGTCTAATTTGGTTACAATTAGAACGCTATCTCACCGAAAATTGAATTCATTCATATCAGAACTATTGAAAATTTTGCTTGCATGCAAAAATGATTCTCAAATTCAAAGACTTCCTTTTTGACCTGACTATAATTAATTTGAATATAGAATCTACATAAATGCCATATGTTCTTGTTTTATTATAATCCAAATTTTTTTAATTACTGTATATATTTATATTACCATATTATATTTAAATGAGGTTCCGTCAGTAGTGGGATTCAGCCGGTTCGCACCGGCTCTATAGAACCGTCTCACGGAATTTTATGAAATCAGCGAACCGGTCAGCATGACTTTTTGTAACAGAACCGCCTGAAAATATGAATTTGTATGATGGAACCGGCTGACAAAAAATTTGAATCCCACCACTGGGCATATCATTTCCTGCTGAAATAATAATGCTTTTTAAAGAAGTTGTTTTCTCATGGGAGACACGCCCTGTTTTAAACCAATCATGTACTCTGCATCACGCTCAGACTTATTGATTTTGTGAATTAAATTCAGATACCAATATAAACAGAATCTGCAATGCTGTAAATTTTTCAATACTATGACTAATTTGATCTTATTGAATCGTTGTCATGACAACTTTTTGTTGACAAGTGTGAATGGTTGGGGATATTCTATATAAATTTATTTGCGATGTTATATATATTTATTGTGGATAATTAAGAAGAATAGGGGCTCCCGAAGTATGCGAACCAAGATGGCGGACATCGGAATGTAATATGTGTACTAGGTTAGGGTTAGGCCATAATTTTAGGTATAAATACTACGGAAGGCTCTTGGCTAGTCTTCGAACTGATAATAGGACTAAAATAAGGAAAATTGGAAAAAAATTATCGCCTAACCTGTTACCCATGTTACGTTCCGATGTCCGCCATCTTGGTTCGCATACTTCGGGAGCACACAAGAATGTATTCAAAATGGTTATAAACTCATTGTCAATATGGGTGTCCATTATGCCCTCCACAGAGGAGACCATTTGGGTGGCATTTGGGACCATATACCTATTTCTTATCCTCTGCCTATATAGCAGTCCTATGTCCCTTTACAGAGGAGGCTACGTAATTTGCTATTGGGACCATCCATCCTTATTTCTAGTTCAAGTTTTTATGGTAGACATCTGCTTAAAAGGCGATTTGAATGAGATTCGGAACATTATGAGTTCCTATTCCTTACCATACAGTTGTTTAGTTTTTTGGAATGTTTAATAACCGATGCATAATAGTGTTGTCTCTCATTTGCGGGTTCATTATACATTTGCACTGGTGACAAGTACATTGAACCTATCAAAGACTTGTTCTATAAATAGAAACTTAATGCTGTTTTCTTCTTAATTCTCAAGGGACGTATTAATATGGGATAAATTTTTGCATTTTGCGTATTCAATCATTCAATTAATATACAAGATTATGGCTGCATCTTGTCACATCTTTACTAAAGTCTTGGGATTAGCTGAATAGTTTTATTTTTCATATTTGTAATACTGTTCACATTAAAGTTTATGCATATTTCTCAATATGATAAAGTAGCCTTGTCGAGATCCCTGGGATAATTCAATCATTCGATTATTATACAAGATTATGGCTGAATCTTGCAAACATGACACATCTTCAAAGTCTTGGGATTATTTATTTTTTTCATATTTCTATTTTTGTTCGCATTTAGGTTTGTGAATTTGGAACAATCGTTTAGATATTTTGCTACTCGACATGTGCTGGTAACAAAAGGTTGTTATTCTCGATATTTTGAACTTACCCCTGGGATAAAAATGCGATATTTACCCTTATTGTACTCTGCACAGTTTTGTACAACTTGCTCTTTTATTTGAATTCAAAATGTCTGAAGAAGAATTCACATTATTAGACAATTTAAGTCTTCAATATCAGAATAATTATGTTATTTTCTTTTGATTATTTAAAAAACGTAAGTTATATTTTAGAAGCCTCCATATTATGAAATTCAAAGATTTCAAGACGATTCTTAAAACTAAAATTCAACAAAAAAAAATATCGAATGCAATCAATTAGATTCCTGCAGGACCAACTACTTATTCCTTCTATGTGTTTGAGATGGTGTATCCGTGTGTGAATAATGCAATAGTACCGCAGCAATAAAATTGTGAATTCTAAAACGTTAAATATAGATTCGAAATTGAATTTTGATCTGAAAAATGCAATTTAGAAAATTCCCAAAACGATTACATTCCTGAATGCATGTTTAGGTTAATTTTTGAAGATACGTTTAGCTACCGTATCGCTACAGAAAGTCTTAATGGAGCGTTGACAAGCATATGCCCATTAATTATTTATCGAGGCCTCTCTAGCATGTCAACTGGTCCTTTTCCAAGACTGAAATTCGATAATTGATGTATATTCGGCCAATTGTGGGGTTAGTTTAATTGGTTCTATTGTAGCTGGTTTACACACGTTTCATACTTGGTCAATAGTAGGTACTGGTAACAAAATTTGGAGAGGATTTTTGCCAAATGCAGACCCAAAATAGTAATTAAATTAAAACCTTTCTAAACCCTCTGGTATAGGAAACAATTAAGAGACGTTTGCCTTGGAAAAGTGATTTTAAATCGAAATTTTATTCATTAAATACACTTTTTATTTTTTTTATTCAAGTTTTTAACATATAGTACCGGTATTGATGATTTTCTTCATTTAAATTCTAGGATTTTCGAAGATATGCATTAGTCAATCAGGTATTGGGCAATTATTCTATCCAGCAATTCATTTGAAATTCAACGATATAAATGAAAAGCAGGTGGAAAATCTCAAATTTGATTCCAAATTATACTGGTCAAAAATAAGAAAAAATAAAACTTTGAGGAAGTCTGTGTATTCCATAACCTTTGACCTCATGGGCATTATAGACCAGGTGACATTTTTTGGCCAGGGTTTCAATGCTAACTGTTTCATTTATAATTTTAGATAGTCTTTATGTTGATTTTTAGATTTGGCTGTTAGAATCAAACTATTACAAAAATGTAATTTTTAAAAGCCCCAAATTGTGACCTCGAAATGTTTGGTTCTGTCGCTGTGATATACCTTATCATGATTCATAAGCGATACAGTATAATGAATCCAGCAAGAAAGATTTCCAAAACTTATTTACACATTACAATACCGATAACTAATTAAAGTTGACAACTCACACAGATCCAAATATAACTTGGATACCATCAAACTTACGTCATCACTGAAACACATTTAATGACAGCTCATTGGCAAACAGTTGTACCATCTGGGAATAATCAGTGACAGATAAATCAAATATTACAAGGATATGTGGTCTGTTTACTAATGTATTTATACATAAACTTCTCTTTACTTCTGCCCTGTGTGTATCTATTTATAATCTCTGGCTGGTTTCCAAATTCACTGCCCATAATTTACCACAGGGAATGTAATGCTATACTTAGTATTTGGTTTCCTCATAACACTAACTTCAGGTCATATTTAAATATATTTTGGAATAGTTAAGACTTACCTAATAGATTCCGAAGTCATATTTTTAAATTTAGAATATCAAATAGGAACTAAATTGGTCATGCTCAACAGAGAAATTTGAAACAATCGTTGTGAACTTACAGGAATTGTGTTTGATATGTGGAATATTTGCGATTCAATCATTTTTACCTTGTCAGAAGTCCTCACAACACTGAAGTTTTGTTTATTTATGTTTCGTACTAGATGTTTGAAGCCAAATGATTTTCTATCAGATTCTGAAATGATATGGAATATCCATTTTTTTTATATAATTCCTACATTGTAATTTGTCAGTACCAATAAGTCCAGTTCCTGCTTTGCATGAGATGTCTATTGCTAAAAATGACAAGTTTTAAATACAACGATTCTAAATTAATCATAAAACTAGCAATTCACTTTATCAAACATTCTAATTTTTCATTTCTGACATCCGGGATTTTTTTCCTATTCGTTGTTATTAAATTAAATGGACAACTGGTTTCTGTATATTAAAGACACAAGCTAAGATTGAAAAGAGACTATATGTCCTTGTTTATAGATCTTAACATGTCATTGTTGTTTGTAAGTAATAGGGTAGTTCACGTAACCGCTGGTCGGTTATGGCTTTCTCCGCCATCAAGTCCATGATTCCGAAAACAAATAATTGGCTAACATATCCCATACCCGACATGGACTGGTAACTGGACAAAAGGCCGTGGCCGTCTTGTCAACTTTCCTCTCTCTCAGAATAAATATGTAAATCCTATTCCAACCGTTCATCAAGTGCTTTTCCCATTTTCAATTGCTCTTGGCATTGGATTGTGCAATCTTGTATAAAAAAAACACTTCGTGAACACTTTTTTGTTTTGTTTTTCAGGATATAGATTATTCAGAGAGTATTGCAATGAACTTGACATGCCACCTCACATGAAATTCTATGAAGAGGTCAGTATACTTTTGTTGCTAGGTTACTTCGTTCTGACCAATCATGTGTGACCAGTCAGAATGTCTGGAAAATTAATCTCAGATGTTATCATGTTGGATATTTTTTTTTTAAATTTCTGTTCATTCCCCCACTTACTCGGTGCCTGATTTAGAGCCTTATTTTGAGTGCGGGGGGGGGGGGTTTAACTGCCTATAAAATCTAAATTAAAAAACAAAATTCAAATTCTCTTTTTTTGCATTTTTTTATATTAATTTTAACTGGCATTAATGAAATTTAGGAATAGTGAACATGTTTTATTTTAAATTGTAATTTTTGCATTATAATACATTATATGGTTCCTTTCACAAATAAGATTTTTATGTCTTGCTAATTGCTATTACTAAATATATTTTGATGAATTAGCTATAAAATTTGTTTTAAATGAATTGTTCAAAGTTTTGTTTGTGCTGTTTTATTTATTTTTCAATCATTCATTACTTCGAAGTTTAGGACTATCAAATTTTTATTTTAAATCAGGCATTCCATCCAAGTTGGGTTTCTTAAACAACTTTACATGCTATGCTATGTGGCATTTCCGTGCTATCCGCTATTAGCTATAATTTTATTTTTAAACGAATGGAATTTTTTTGACATCGTTGTTTACATAAATGGTTGTTTGTCACTTCTGATATTTTATCTTTTCTATATCAGAAATAGTTAATCCTCTGAGCTTAGATTATGTTTACGATAAAACAAGTTGAATTTGTAACATGATCGTGGTATTTACATTAAGTTGATTGACATTATCAAATTGATGACCGAGGATTTTGATGGTTTTGGTTACAGTATTAGGTCTGTCAGTTCCGGCATGGTCTGTAATTAGTAATATACTATTCCTTATTAATATCAGTTTTCCCTTTTTTTAAAATGACTGCTTGAAGGCGTAAAAATAAAATTTTGATGAATTTGGGTGAATGGAGATTTCTGTAATAATACATAGGATGTCCAAAAAGTCTAAAAAAATTTTGACCTTGTGAATAGAAATTTTCAAAACCATATATTGTTTTGGCTCTCACAGTCACAGATATATTAAATGAAGTGAAAATACTTGAACAATTACTGATTAAAAAATAACAAACCTGGTTAAGATATATTGAGGACTGACTTCATAACAAAATTGAAATTGTGAAGGGACTTTGTGGACATATATTTTTTCATTCGTTTGAAGTTGCTTATGGGAAAAGAAGAATCGGGTCTTTTAAAAATTATTATACTTTATGTATTAGAGATTTAGAGAGCACTTGTCTATAGCCTTGTTGATAGCAAATTCAAAACAAACCATATTGAATTTTTGTTAGTTTCCCAATATTTCAATGACAAAATTTTGACATTAATAGATACTTGTAAAAAGCCTTGATCATACAAAAATGTTAAAACAAACCACATTTATTTTTTGTTGGTTTTGCAATAATTTATCAATAATATTAGAATTATAACATTAATCCATAATTGACATTATTTTCTCTCAAAAGTTTCTGTTAAAACCATGACTTTTTGCAAGAAAATTTTGATTCTAGTCAATTTTGACATAATCTATTATATTGCTGTAAAATAAATTGATTTGTAAGATTTGAGATTAACTCTAGTAAGTAAAACGTATATTTCATGCATTTGTTGATTTTGTTCCATGCCAAAGTTCCAGGTTGAAGGTAAAAATTTTTTTAAAGAAAATTCAATTCGAGTTTGGAATCTGGCAGATATCATGATATTGCTATAAATAAGATGAGTTTATAACATTCAAAATTAATTTTATGGAAAACGTATATTCTTATGCCTTTATTTATATAGTCTGCTAAAGTTTCATGTCAAGGCCATAGCAGATTAAATAAGCCTCCCAAAGTCAAAATTCATACGTTCTTCCAATGACAAACTCTTAGTTCATCTGCAAAATGTAGCCCTAAATGTTTGAGCAATAGATAAATCTAATCCGAAAATTGCAATTTCGACTATGGCACTGGTTATATTTATTTCAGTGCAAATAAATCGATTCTGAGCTTGAAATTCAATTATACTTTGCAATAATACCTTCCATTCTGAAAGTATTTTTTTGGTTTCCTCGGCCAAAGATGAACCGATATTAAAAATCATCATTAAGGTGCGTATTATATGTGGTCCATGTCAAAAGGGGTATAAAGTTCAACCATGCTCTGTCTACTTAAGTCCAACCTTTCAGAAGTAATCAATCCATGAGGTCTAAATTTGGATACCGTAACTCAATTTGATTTTTAAAATTGGTCTGGATTAGAAAATTTTAAGGGTTTAAATATAATAAAATATCTTCAGTGTGGAATAGTTATTTCCTAAAGAAAAATACAAAATACTAAAATAGTAGTGAAATAAATTTTTATCTGATAATTGGGACATGTCAAATTTGTAAGGTGTTTATCCATTTCCGTCAAACCTAAACTAATGAATTGATGTAATTGCAATGAACTATGTTCTACTTTATTGATAGGGTGAGTCAAGATATAATAATCGATTAGGACCTCGACATTATGGAGTCCAAGGGTACTCTAATACAAGAGTTTCAGTTAAAATTTGGATGGTTTTCATATATGAAAAAGCCCTAAGATGATATAACAACTTAATTGAACCATTTTTGATAGTCTAAGCTGCTAAGGGTTGCAATGAATAGATTTTGATTTTAAATTGATTGGATTTCTGTAGTGTGTTCGGAAAATGCTACATTAACTTAGCTTCAAACATGCTTTTTTGGAGCTATTGCATTGTGACATTGATAAAATTAGATTTTTGCATTTTTTTCCCGTTTTGTTTTGGCATACATTGATTGTCCTATTTTTACATTGTTTTTAGTCGCTACTGTTATGGTAACTGTTAACCTTATTCCTGTTATAGATTCGAGCGTACAAGGAAACTGATGATGACGAAAGCAGGAAAGAATTAGCAAAGTTGATTTACGATGAATACATCATGAAAGAGTTACTGTCTTGTTCATACGTAAGTAAATTTTATTTGTGTGGGATTCCAATTGTGATTCAAGCAGGACAATTGTGATACAATCAGGACAAATGTGGGACAAGCAGGACAAGTGTTGGACAAGCAGGGCAATTCTGAAATGAGCAGGACAGATGGGAGGGAGACGAGCAAAATAAGTGTGAGACAAGCAGGACAATTACGGGACAAACAGGAGTGCGGAACAACAGACAAGCATTACAAAGTGTGGTAAAAGGAAGTAAAATGTGGGATGAGCAGAGCAAGTGTATGACAAGTTTGATTTTCTATTAAATCCAGCCCCTTTTCAAACTCAGATCCTAATCCTTTTCATTCAATGCTAAGTACGTTACGTGAACATGATAAGTTGACTCACTGATTCCATCCAAGGTTTATCATTAAATATTCATGCATAAGGCACAGGTTGGAATATCAACAGGAAGTAGATATAAAGGTTAATTAGCTGCAGTATCCATATAACGTGATTGCAATCAGTTTGTCAAAGCAGGGCATGATTGCCACTCGATAATGCATATATAAGATGTTATAAAGCACAACTGGCGTTAGCAAAACTATTATAATTTGGTGATGTTTCCATTAAGATGCTTAATAAGTGAGAATATTTTTTTCATTAATATAGATGTTTCCCCGAGCATCCAATTCCTTATTCATTTCCGTAACAATTACAAATCAGCAATAACCTAACAATGAGGTAACAATTAGAATTTATACTACCGCTCAGACAGATATTCAAGCGTGGTTGTAATCATTGCCTTTTGTGATAGTTATCTTGAATATTTGAGGAGTCAAGGATCAGGGAAATGGGTGCTCCCGAAGTATACGAACCAAGATGGCGGACATCGGAACGTAACATGGGTAACAGGTTAGGGTTAGGCGATAACTTTTTTCCAATTTTCCTTATTTTAGTCCTATTATCAGTTCGAAGACTAGCCAAGAGCCTCCCGTAGTATTTATACCTAAAATTATGGCTTAACCCTAACCTAGTACACATATTACATTCCGATGTCCGCCATCTTGGTTCACATACTTCGGGAGCCCCGGGAAATGTCCATTATCTGTAGTTGTTTTTTAGTAATCAGTATTAATTAACATTTCATTATTTCAAATTGCAACCTCCAGAGCTGTGTTGACCTGAACTGATTGAAGTCTTAAGCCAATCAGCAAATACTGGCACATAATACACCATCAAGTTAGTTTCAGTAACTGTTTGCATTTCAGTCGCGTCTCGTAATTTTTCTCTCGGACATAAGTCTTTTTTACATCTGAGTGAGTGAGGATGATGTTGCTTTGATGTTTCTTGAAACAAAGATCACATCACCATCTTCATTTCTCAATCTCATCATTTTTTACTAATTACAGGATTTCACAAAAAAAGCAATGGATCATGTCAGGGACAAGTTGATGAAAGAAGAACATCCATTGGATCTTTTTAATGTAAGTTAAAATAGGAATTTAATTTTCCCATTAATCCTGGGGTGAGGAAAGGGCGCTTCAGAAGTGTATGTATCAATATGAAGTTAACTAATTTTTTCGCCTCCGTTACATCAAGTTGTATAAATGGACTGAAACCAATGGGAGTATATTTACCAACATAGACAGTCCCCGAACTTGTAATAGAACAAAAATAAGGGAAAGCATAATAAAAATTATGGCCTAAGCCTAACCTGGTACTGCTGGGACTGTCTGTGTTAGCCAAGTGAATATAACCCTGCCCATAGGTTTCAGTCCCTTTACACAACTTGATGTAAAGTAGGCGAACAAAATGAGTTACCAATACTTCTGGAGCGCCCTTAAAAATATATATCTAATGGTTGGTAGATTCAATTTATGAAAGCCTCCTCACATTTTATTGACTGTATCATGCAAATATAAGAAAAAGTACTATTAGCAGTCGGCATCAGACTACCAGTAGAAGTATAAAGGTCATTCCTTTTGCCCAATTTTACAAAGCTGTTACCATTCAGTTAAAACTTAATGCAAGTCATTATGATACACAATCTTATCTTTCTAAATGGCCATTATGTGGCCATAATACTGCATATTTGTGTTATCATAAAGAATCGATCAAAATATTTAATATTTGTTTATGTTTAAAACATCTATGATAGCCTTTTACCCTAATTTATCTTAAAGTGCATGAAATTGTTATCATCTTTGAGATCCTTATCTCTCCTTATCTGCACTGATATCAGTTTGATTTTATTATTGAGCCGGCCGGTATTTAGATTAATGAAATTACTCTTGCGGCAAACCTTAGCAAATATACTTGCTAGATTTTTAGACTCTTGTATTCCTGAATGAAAACTGAACATTATAATCATGTCGAATATCGTTAAGTACTGACTTTTGGAATGCAGATATAATAACATCTACACAACCTACTTACTACCCTTGCATTCTTAAGATTTCTTATCTAGGGTAGTTTATCTTAAAATATAAATAAACAAATACGTTATCAGTGATTCTAAGCATTAGAGGTTTGCCAATTTTGCTCATCTGCTTAGGTGTTTCAAATTTCAACATATTTTCTGAAATTTTTGTCATTAAAATATCATTAGTTGGGTAGAATTAATGGCCATATGCTAAGTAATAGCGTTGAAAGTATTTATGTTGAATGAAACTTGAAATTGTTAGCGTGATCATTCTATTACCTTTGCAAATAAGAAATTCTTAAATCAAACAATATAAGCAACACCTTGCCGCATCTTATAATTGCAATAAATCATTATGGGGCTCTCCAGAAGTGTGTGTACCAATATAATTTTGTTTGCCTATTTTACATCAAGTTGTGTAAATGGAAGGAAACCTATAGGCAGGGGGTATATTCACTTGGCTCACACAGACAGTCCTCAAACTCGTAATAGAACTAAAATAAGGAAAATCATAATAAATTATGGCCTAACCCTAACCTGGTACATATACAAGGGGAGTACCCTTTACGAAGCTTACGGTATACGGTACGGCACGGCTTCACGGTATACCATATCAATGGCTTATATATTTTCTCTCAATACTTTTTTAATTTTATTTGGGATATCTTCATGAAACCTCTCGTCCGTTTACCAGAACTAGTGTAGTATAGGAATAGATAATCAGTCAATTGTACCAGACACAGGAACCTTGATGGCGGAGATAAAGCTGTTACTGCACATCTGCTATATAAACTAGTTTGCAATTGTAAAGGTTCCAGCAATCCTCTTGCACATAATCAGTGATGTTTATTTTTTCATACAATGCTTTTGTTTGCTTTTACCGCAAACAAGGTATATATATATACAGGCTTTTATCAATTTCAGCTCCTGAGCCATGCATTGAAAAAAATATAGGAAAAATGTTATTCATTGTTATTCAGCAGCTTTTGTAAATTAATTTGGATAATCACGTGACTGATGGGTATTAAATTTTATCATTCCTTTCTACAGCACTACATTCCGGAAATCAAGAATAATCTCAACAAAATACTTTTTCAACAATTTCTTGAAAGGTAAGACTCTTTGTTGCATCTGAAAAGATTGAAGAAATTGAAATATGCTCGTCTGAAATAAACGAAACGTAACAGAAATATATCTGGGTGTCCGCGTGGTCCTAAGATTTTTCAAAACTTAAAAAAATGAAGTTTATCGTTACCATATATTGTTTTGGCCCTCGCAGATGAATTAAATAAAATTACCTAAACAATTACTGATTAAAAAACAGTAAACCTGGTTACGATATATTGAGAACTGACTTCATAACAAAATTGAATCGCAAGTAAGCTGAGTTTAAAACTAAAAAAAAAAAATAGTTGCCAAACTAGGGAGTCAGCTTATAACTCTGATCGCACTAATTCCCTTCTGCAACCATTTGCTGTGTTTCAATTTGTAAGGTCGGCTTATATGCGAATTTTCATAAATTCACGATTTTAGGGCTGTTTAGGGGGCCTGCTTATATTTGAGGATATATAGTATTTGTAATATCTGCAACACTATGCAGTCCACAACTCAGTTTTTGAAAATCTTTTTCCCACTTATCCATTTGGTCATGTATTTCCTTTATATAACACAAAACACAGATTTTTAATAATATGTAAATTTTGTTTCTCAGAATTCCAAATATCATTCAGACTTCCTGTATTTTCTAATTAAACTAATTTCTCATGGTTGCCGTGAATTAACATTTTATTAGTTATTTTATCAATAAATTTTAAATTTTAATATAAGATAACAGCATGGAATGTGGCAACTTACAAATGAGAACAACAGTCAATTTCAATTAGAATTCAAATCCAGCCAAACATGATAGACTGATATATTATACTTTACTAGTGCTTCATCATGCATGGGCAGGGTTGTTTTTTATGTAAAGTAAAATACCATTCTATGAATAAAGGAGTGAATATGTGTAACAAGAAGTCTATCTACACATACAATTATTGAGCTAAATTTAGCCTTTTGTGTGTTTGCCAAGAATCTTTAACAAATCTATTTATTTTCTTGTTGGGAGGAAAAGATTTTAATGAGATCCAATAATTGAGTTCTTTTGTTAGTCTGTTCTATTTTTAAACATCTTGTTAAAGCGGTTTGATTTCCTGTTTGGTTATGCGGTCTGTTTTATATTAAATGATATGAAAATTTTTTGAATACGCTACCAAAATTGGAAACTGAGCACCTCAGTATAAGGCCTTATTCAACTCACATCTAAAGCACACTTAGAATGGATCTAAAGTAAAATACAACACAAGTAAAAATGTTACTAAATAAGAAAAACAAATGTTTATCAAATTGCTGACGCTAACAGTAAGCTGGATGATAGTAACGCGCTACAACAATCATCGCTGGACTGCAACTGTATAAACAGATAGTTACATTGCATAGTTAAAATGTAATTTTTAGAATGACTAGACATCAATTTCTAAGTTTTGTGTACAGACACAGTTGAGTAGCCCTGCCGTATATGTTTAAATTCTGTGGCTGTGAGGTGTTAGATGTCAATCTGAACTGTCAACCAGATCAGGTATCGTAGTTGGCCTTATATCATCCTATTAACTTTTCTCTCGTTAGTAATTAGTATAAGTATGAAATTCTAACTTTTGTTCATTTTTTTCATGCTTCATTGAACCATTGTTGCCCTTGACAACCACAGTGAGCAGTTTACAAGATATTGTCAATGGAAGAATCTCGAACTTAGTTTGCGGGTGAGTACTTGGAGTTTTTATTTTGGGACATTTTTATCTCAACAGAGAATATGCAATTTGGTGTTTTCACACAATGGGATATGGGACTCCAATCATACCATATTTTTCAATCATATCTGATGACTTTAATCTTTGTTCGAATTGATGTACACATTCTATTATTCTTTATGGATTTTATTTTAGTTCTCAAAGCAATGTCGCATTCACTCACTCAGAAGTAAAAGAAACTCATGTTCAATTGCAGTTTTGGGCAACGGCTATTTTCAGATATTGTCTTATATTTGTACAATATACTTATATAATCAAGTTATCTCTTGGGAGAATTTTATTCTCCTGAGACTGACAGTTTTGACATGTTATACTGAACTGTATTGTTCTTTGTCAAACTAATCCTTCTTCCGGTCAACTAAATCAATATTTTCTGAACAATAGTTATATGGAGAGAAGGGCGCTCCAGAAGTATGTGTACCAGTATGGAGGTAACTAATTTTGGTTGCCTACTTTACATCAAATTTTGTTAAGGGACTGAAACCTATGGGCAAGGGGTATATTCACTCGGCCAATATAGACAGTCCCCGAATTCGTAATAGAACTAAAATGAGGAAAATCAGAATAAAATGATTGCTTAACCCTAACCTGGTACACACACTACAGGAGTACCGAGAGAAGTACAACTGCTAAAAAGAAATTATATAAATTTTGCCAACACTTTGAAATGTCTGTAGAGACATCCATACATTTATTTTAACATTTTTAGTAATGTTCTCGAAATAAGGGGTATTCATGTAGTGTGTGTACCAGGTTGGGGGTTAGGCCATAATTTTATTTCGATTTTTCTTATTTTATTTCTGTTACGAGTTATGTGACTGTCTATGTTAGCCAAGTGAATATACCCCCTGCCCGTTGGTTTCAGTTCCTTTACATAACTTGATGTAAAGTAGGCGAACAAAATTAGTTACCTCCATATTGGTACACACACCTCTGGAGCGCCCGGGAAACCACAAAAAAGCTGAGACCGACTGAAAACTAGAATTATGGCAGATAATTTGGATAAAAACTACAATTTTTAGATTCCTAAAAAATATCTTTAATCAAAAGCATGGATCTGCTTAGTTAAATACTTTGTTTATTCTCAGTTTTGATAGTGGCATAGTACGACATTCAGCATTATGATTTATTTTTCAGTTAACAATGAATGACTTCAGCGTCCACAGAATCATAGGTCGTGGTGGATTTGGTGAAGTCTATGGGTGTAGGAAAGCTGATACTGGTACAATGTAAGTATTCAGCGCAAATTTGTTTATACACATAGACATTCGCTTCATCTGTCAATACAAAGGGATAGGATGTATGTATTCGTCCACGGAGAGAGGAAAGACGATAAGACGGAATGGACTTGATGGTGGAGGAAGCTCTAACCGACCAGAGGTTTCGTGAACCACCCTACGACCGGGAAGAGTCCTCCAATCCTCTCACACATAGCAATTCCCATATAGAATTCGAACCTGCGAACCCACGCAGGGTAATCAAAGGTGCGGTGGCGAGCATATTCCTAACGCTTAGTATGTTGAGCCGCACCGCGACATCGAGTAACTTAAATAAACCTAAGATCTTCAGTCTACGATAGTCATTTGATTTAAATTCAGCTTTTTGATTTCTTATTTTCTTTCAGGTACGCAATGAAATGCCTTGATAAGAAACGAATTAAATTAAAGCACGGAGAATCACTGGCATTGAATGAGAGGATGGTTCTGCAAATGGTAGGAAATAATTTTCATTATTTTAGGTTTTGCAAATAGGTAACTTGGTGGGTACTCCGTAGTGTGAGTACCAGGATAGGGTAAGATCATAATTTTATTCCAATTTTCCTTTTTTTAGTTCTATTACGAGTTTGAGTGGGACTGTCTGTGTTAGCCAAGTGAATATACCCCCCTGCCCTTAGGTTTCAGTACCGTTACACAACTTGATGTAAAGTAGGCGAACAAAATTAGTTACCTTCATATTGGTACATACGGTACTTCTGGAGCGCCTCCTTTTGTTTACAATTTGTTTTTTAATTTGAAGTCTATGGGAGAGTTTTTCGCTATTTGGACACTGAGTGGAGATATGTATCTTTAATTTGGCTATTAATGGCTGATTTTATACTGTCAAAAAAATAATTAATTTTTTAGGGACCAATCACTCAAATTTTAAGTAATTAAAGGTGAGTGAAGGTGTAAGTAGTAGGCTGTTAAAGCTGTGTATTTATATAGTTTATCTCAGGGATGGGCAAGGTTTTTAGACGAGGGGGCCAACTGGCACTGGTGGGCCATGTAAGTGTGACATGAAAAGGTACATTTTAGTGGACAATATTTACATTATTACAAAGCAAAAGTGGAAAACAATAAGCCTCGTGCCAAAACTAAATTTGATCGCAAACTCAACAAATTCCTTGCAGTTATCTTCAGCTAGAAAATCAAAAGTTGGTTTAAGTTTGATTGTGGCAGCATAAAGGCGCTGCTCGATCACTAGTCTTGGTGTCTCGCGCCTTCCTTTACCCTAAAGCACCATATTTCCTATTTCTTGTATTGTGTATTCACAATGTGTGCTTTGGAATGGTGGAAAAATAAATTATTGATTACTGATTAAGGCGGGCCAGATTGAATTACCCAAAGGGCCGGATTTGGCCTGTAGGCCGTAGTCCGTAGTTTGCCCATGTCAGGTCATCTAGACCAGGGGTGCACAACACGAGGCACGCGTGCCAAATTTGGCACGCCTTACGCTCAAACGTGGCACGCGAACCTTTTTGTAAAAAAAAATATTTATGATATACATTAAAATATCACGTTTATATCAAAATCAGCATTTTTTTTTTCAGGACATTAAATTGTTTTAATAAAAACATATTCGTTATTATGTATTGTTATTGCAATTTGTTTGTTTTACGGAAGTTAATTTACAATACCACAATTGTGCGTGGCACCCGACAAGATTATTTTAAAAAAATTGGCACGTATCCTCATTTGAGTTGTGCACCCCTGATCTAGACACTAAAATTCTGCACTGATCAGAAATAAAGTCTATATCTATAGCTTAAATGCACAAATGCAGCGCAATATCAGAATACTATTTATACATCATTGGTGACATTTAAATTATTTCCACTGACTAAGCTTTGACATTTTGCTGTTTTTTGAAAAAGTTTTTAATCTTTTTCTTGTATTGATCGGTACGTGTGATATAAGATTGTCCTTCTTTCGTATCGGTGAATAAAATGTCAACAAATATTGATTAAACGTTGATTTATATTGGATTTTACAATTGGCTAGAGTAGTTGTCTTGTTTGATTATGGCGTTTTCTGATTGTCTGATTTCTGGCAAGTATATCGCTAAATCTTGAGATAGGGCGATTATATAGACCGTCCATAAAATCTTAAAACATTTCAGAATTGCAAAGGGAATTTATCGATATCTTATATTGTTTTGGTTCTCACAGATGTATTAAATGAAGTCATAATATTTGAACAATTACTGAATAAAAAACAACAAACCTGGTTAAGATGTATTGAGAACTGACTTCATACGGAAATTGAATTTGTGACGGGACTTTATGAACATGTGTACAATATCATGACATATAGATTCATATTAAAGTTGATTTTATATGTTTTTGTGTAAATCAACATAATGTATTTGCAATAGAATGTATATGTTAATTTAGCTGCAATGCTTGTTTACATGCAATAACCATCCCTCGTTGATGATTTCCAGGTATAATATAAAAAAGGTAGCCTGGGTATAACCCAATTTCAGAAAGGAGGATTTACATATTTATCCAGGGGGAGAGGAAAGCCAATAAGACGGCTTATCCATATGGCGAACCACGGCCTCTCATCCGGTTACTATTGCAAGTCGGGTATGGGATTAGTTATATTGTTTGTATTCGGAAGCATGGACTTGGTGGTGGAGGAAGCCGTAACCGACCAGCGGTTACGACAACCACCCAACGACGGCGAGGAGTCCGGCAATCCTCTCGCCCATAACCATCCCTGCATGGGATTCGAACTTGCGAACCCACGCAGAGTAATTAGAGGTGCGGTGGCGAGCGTATTCCTAACGCTTAGCCCGTTGAGCCACACCGCCGCGCCAATTCAATCTCTCAACTAAGCTAAAGGAGCAAAGTATGGTTGGTCAGAGTTTGTTAGAGTTGGGAATAAAAGTTGAAATTGAATCCAATTGTCCACTTAACAAACCAAGTACTAGTCTTGCTCTTGAGCATTGATTTCAACAAAATTTCAGTCAATGATATTTTAAGTTTGGGATTCTCTGTTGGGTATTCCCATAGTGTGTGTAACAGGTTAGCGTTAGGCCATAATTTTATTCTGATTTTCCTTATTATAGTTATATTACGAGTTCGGGGACTGCCTGCGTTAGCCATATTCCCCCTGCCCATAGGTTTCCAACCCTTTATACAACTCGATGTAAAGTAGGCGAACAGACTTGGTTGCCTCCATATTGGTGCATACACTTCTGGAGAACCCTTTGTTGTACCCTCATGTTTATCTTTTATTTTATCAAAATATTCCCCTTTTTTCAGCTTGATTCTCCATTCATCGTATGCATGACTTACGCTTTCCAGACTCCCGATAAACTATGTTTTGTACTGGACTTGATGAATGGTAAGTAAAGGGTTTTAATATTTTCTAGAGTTAGCATACTGATTGTGTTATAATATTTAAAATAATACTGTGTAGTGTTTTGGATATTTCAAGTTTTTGTGTTCATTGTCATTAACCTAATATATCGATGCTGCCCAACTGGTAAGCCCTCGTGCAAACACCTTGTGGTGGCAGCAATTTCACCAAGAATAAGGGCACAATTTTTTTTTTTAAATAAAAATAACACAATCTCTTTTCTTTTTTTTTTTTACTTTTTCAAAGAAAATTCATTTGACATTTTACGTCCTGTTTCAGTTATTTGGGACACTTTGCTCAAAAGTGATATTGGTTCTATTTTGTCATCTTCGCTGTTGCCATCATCAACTTTAATCCAGAATTCTTCCAAATCACTGCTTTGATTGATCAATTTTTGTCCTACATCACATTCTTCATTAGTTTCATATTCCATATTTGGTCAAATAAAAGTAAATCCAACTTGGCTTTACCCTGTTCAGTCTAAATTAAATGGACATGGACTTCCTGTGGCAAAAAACCTATTTGTTTTCGAACTAACTCCTATGACATGTATGAATTGCGTTATAAATTATTAATTTCAGTTCAGTTGAAATATAATGCTGCAAAATATGCTCAAATGGTTTTACGGTTTTGCGTTCTTAATCAATTATTGGCAGCCTTCTCATTTAGATTCATATGATATATATACAGAATTATTTACTATCTTGAATATTCTAAAATATATTATGAGTTTGGAATATTGAATATTAGGTAATTTGGTAATATTAACAATAATCAGAAAATCAGAAATAATCAGAATTCAGTTTTTACCCTTTTTTTTGGCTATTAGGTCGGTTTCTGCATCTAATTTTTTTACATTATTTTCTGTGGGCGGCTTATTAGACAGCTTAACCCGTCTGAGAGCACATTGGCATTTGATCGAGAAACAATTTAGTAAAATATAATCTTATCAAAATTTAGCCTGCAATAATGTATGACTGAAGGACAGAGAAAAGAAAAAAGCACATATTTTCTGCCTCGACTTAGTGGGCGGTAATATGGAAAAACCATCATTTATAGTGCTAAAAATTTGTATAGTTTTATTCGCGAGGTAACTTATCAGTCGAAAAATCGACCCAGATATTTTCATTTTGCAGCACCCCAATCTCAAAATTAAAAACCAAAAATAAAAAATTTCAGAATATCATATTTCAGACTTGGTCATCAATAGCATTTTTAAAGAAAAACTGATAACATGTCAAGACCATTGTTTGGATTTTAAATCTGCATGACATAAAAAATACTAAAAATTTCACTTCCTTCCACTAGGTGGCGATATGCACTACCATCTCACACAACACGGAATGTTTTCAGAAGATGAGGTTCGATTCTACGCAGCTGAGATCGCTCTGGGACTCGGCCATATGCATTCAAGGGGGATTGTTTACAGGGATCTGAAGGTATATATCTGAAAATATGGTACACCCATAGTGTGTATACCAGGTTAGGGTTAGGCCATAATTTTACTCCCGTTTTCCCTGCTTTATTTCTATTACGAGTTCGGGGACTGACTGTGTTACCTAAGTGGATATACCCCCTGCCCATAGGCTTCAGTCCCTTTACACAACTTATGTAAAGTAGGCGAACGAAATTAGTTACCTCCATATTGGCACACTTCTGGAGCGCTGAAAAAACTAAACAGTTGGCGCATTGTTAGGAATAAGCTTGCCATCGTACCTCTGATTATCCTGTGTGGATTCACAGGTTGGAATCATGTGAGGGATAATTTTCTGCGAGAGGATTGCTCAACTTCTCGTTGGCATGGCGTGGTTCACGTAACCGCTGGTCGGTTACGGCTTCCTCCCCTATCAAGTTCATGCATCTGAAACATAACTGGCTAACTAATCCCATGCCTGACATGGGCTGGTAACCTGACGTGAGGCAGTGGTTCGCCATGTGATATTTTCTATTTTTTTTACTGTAAATTTAATTTTGTAACATATTTGGAAAATATATGTCATTACAAGGATGTGGTGATGACTGACTGTGTACCTATGTATCACTTAATTGCTCTCTTGTTTTCAAATGACCTAATAATGTCACTTATTGTGTAGAACTTGGATATGCATAGCTACAGCCACATCCATACTAAGAATTTGCAGCCTTTTCTGCTGGTATTCTGTCTTCAAAGTAGTTTTTAAAATAGATATTCTCTAATAAAAAAGATTATTTGTCAAGTAATGATGTTTTGTTAAAATTTATTCAATAGCCGGCAAACTTACTACTTGATGAAAAGGGTCATCTGAAAATATCAGATCTTGGTCTTGCTTGTGACATCACAAAGAAGAGGCCACATGCAAGCGTGTGAGTAATATTCTGTTGCATGCATGAGTGGTTATTTTTGATATTTTTTGTAATTGCTCGAAGATATTGTTGCCGCCGTGTGTAAGCTGTACAGGTTATCTGTGTCTCTCTTCATCCTGAAATACGATTTAGTATAGTTTTATTAATTTGTCTATTGCTGAACTTAGAGCTGTATGAAGAATTATTAGGGCACAAGAAAGTTTTAAAACACTTAAACATTTAATCAATGAGCTTTTTTTGTGCTCATGAACGATCGAAACATGAATAAATGTTCGTTATTACCAGTCGTACTCCCCCAGCATTAATTTTAGCATTTTTGTTATTTTCTGGCAAATTTTAAATGCTGACATATGAGAAATAATGTTTTGAAAATGAATTGAATATTTGCGACACATACAAAATACTTTGCAGCGCACAGTTATGCAACCACTGGCTTAGAGTAATTATTTGACAAAAAGTAAGAGTAAAGAAACAAATATCAAGAAAAAACACATTCCTATACTTTTGAATCTTCATATATTCTACCAGGTTGGCTCTCTTTCATTTTTCTCATTTTGTGAGAAATTTAAAATGATGACAGATGAGGAAGACATTTTTGTAAATGAATTGATATTCAGCGACACACACATATTATCTAGCGTCGCACAGTTATGGAACCACTGACTTATTTGGCAAAAAATAAGAGTAAAGCACCCCAAAATCAAGAACTTTTTTTCTTTAATATCTCTTTATATATTCTACCCAGTTGACTTTCTCTCTCATATTGGACACATACTATCCAATATATTGATATAGAGACAGATACACAATACAAAAAAAAATTGAAATTTAATAATACCGAAAATGAAAAACTGACAATACTTTTAATGAAACCGATGGGCTTGCATATTTGCGCACAAAATGTCTCTCTTTTTTCTCTAATATTGGAGACATATGCATAATATATTGATATAGAGACAGATAATGTATTAAGTTTAAATGAATCCATTCCCCTGGGATTCTATACTAAGTATTCTGGATAGATTTATTTAATTGAATTTTTTTCATCTGACTGAGTTATACAAGAAAAATATAGTTCTGCAGTACGGAAGATTTTTGATTTTTTTCAAAATTTTGTCAAAAAAAGGTCGCGACAACTTAGAAATTTGAGAAAATTACTGAAATATTAAATATAAGCAACATGTGCAATAAAGTGGGGTTGTTTCCTTTTGTGATTTGATTTTATCAAAATCGTTTTTTTTTTTAAATTAAATTCAAAAACTAAAGTCACAATACCTCAGGCTGATAATGCTGAACTTGGAACATATTACTGTCCTACTAAAAAATTGTTGCTTGCAATTATCAGTAACTTTGCTCATTAAGTGTGGAAAATTTTCATTGTGCAGAAGTATATTAAGTAAATGGGATTTAAGATTATGACTTTCAGTTATAATTAATGTTTCATGTTTTGGCTTCACATCATCACAAGTTCATTAGTTTTCACGACTATATTTGCATTATTAAAAAATTATTAAATATTATTAAAAAAAAATATATTTTAGGAACTATGTTGAATTGAAATTTCAATTTGATCAAAGAGTGAAGGCAGCCAAATTTTAGTCAGGTCACTATTTTTTATTGATTTCATGAAACAATCTTCAATACTTTATTATAAATATATTTTCTATTTCTGAAATTGAATGTATTAAAATTTGAATTTTGGTAAATAGCAAAGGCGGTTTTCGTAAACTGACAATAAATTTCATGACAATCTTCAACTTTCTGCCGCAATAAAAAAAAATATATATGCGTAAAACGTGTGAATATAAATTCAATTTTATCACAAGCAGAGAAGGCAAAATTGTATTGGACCCACATTTTTTCAACAATGTTTATGGAAGAATCTTGATTTCTTTTGGTTCAAAACATATCAAATCTAAACCTCATTAATAATGCAAAGGAAGTAAAGACTATCCAGTTGATATTGAAGATTTTTATTTTTGCCATTTTTTGTTTGTTAATATTGAAATATTAAATTAATCTTTGGTCATGCTGGACTAAGTTGACCTGTTTTTCGGCTGTCTATAGTGAAATAAATAGTTATTTTCAGATTCTGCTTTGCAATGGCTTTTGTTTAATTTTGGATAGTTTGATATAGCCCAGTATGTTCCTCAGCTTTTTATTTTCGGGTGTTTCCGAATTTAAAGGGGTGGTAGATATTTTGCTATTAGCGATAAAACTATATTATAAAAAATGCATTTGACTGACCATCTGCAATGGCATATCCGGATATTTAGATACAATTATTACTTATCGATCATAAGATCGGTAAGTATGTTGATAGGCATTTGTCTGTTTGTCTGTTAGATGCACGCGATATCTCACGAAAGCAGGTTCAATCTGCCCCAAATTTTGCATGTGCATTCACTATAGCTCGTACCAAAAGCCTATTGATTTTGGATGAATTATGTCGTATAATTAGCGAGTTATTAATTAATTGGGGATGGGACACGCGGTGTCACTATAGAGTCAGAGTGAATGAATGGGGGATCCCCTAACTTTCATCGATAAGTCTTCGGTCTCCGACCGATATTCTCGTATTTGAGAATTATTGGGTTGTATTGCATCTAAAATTTGGGCGGAGTATTTGAAATTTTAGGGGATGTAGGGGAAAAAATGTCATAGCATATTGATGTGGTAGGCATAGACTTCAAACTCTGCTTTCGAACATGCAATGCTGCTGTAGTAAATTCCAACTCTCTTACTAATAGGCCTCTCTTTTATTAACTTCCAAGCAGCTAGAAAACTAATGTAAAATTCACACTAGATTTATTATCTGAAAAAATAAGCAATTTTTGTGGTACGGTAACATAAAGTGAACTGCAAGTAGCTTCAAAGCATATAAAATAGTTTAATAACTGTATACCTGCCCTTGGGCCATTAACTTCTTATATAGGCTATTTAATTCAGAGGCACTGTTCAGGTGATGGGCACTGGGCAGTAAGTTTGAACTCGAGTTTTTTATATCATTCAGTGCCTTGATAACCAACTAACTCACTAGCCACTAGGTAGACGCACAAATATTAACATTTTTATATCTATTTCAGAGGCACACATGGGTACATGGCTCCAGAGGTCATCAGTCGAAATGTTTCGTACGGATGTGGAGCAGATTGGTTCTCATATGGATGCACGTTATTTAAACTATTGCGAGGACATTCACCTTTCAGACATCATAAAACTAAAGATAAAGGAGAAATTGACAGAATGACGTTAACTACAGTAAGTAGATTTCAGTTTACAGACTTTTATTCACTTGTGTTATAAGCGAAGAAGTTGGAAACGAATAGAATATTTGGATTCAGTTTTAGTACAACCTTTCAATTTGGATTTTTAGAAATAATATAGAAAAGTTTGAAATTTGAGCAGTTAAAGTCGCAGGATATGACCAGGAAAGCTTTTTTAATTTTTGATAATTGTGAAAAATTGTAAAAAATCTTAAATTTACACATTTTCTAATTCTGATTTAATGAATATCATCTGAAAAATACATTTAATACCTCATATTTGAAACATTATTTTAGAGCGTATTCTGAATACTAACTACAGAATGGGGTTGGCCTTCCCTGGCCATAAAGACATAGAGATTCTTTAAGACTTTTTCAGGTTTTAGTTGTTTTTTTGACAACTTTGACTTGATTTCTTTCATTTGTGTTTTTTTTTTGTAACATTGAATCTATATATAGGTCTCAGTATGTAAGCACTCTCTGCTATTTTTTATCAATAATTTTTCCTAGCAATTCTACTCTGCTAACAGTCGAGGTAATACATTCCCCCTGTAACTTTTATCGGGAACATTTCAGGCTTGATGAAAAATTTAGTTGCCTTTTAGGCAGTTCACTTTTTTACAGCTAGTTCTGTGAACTGTAGTAAAGTACCACAAGATGTGGCACAATTATAAACATATACACCAATAACGATGACGAACATTACAAACGTGTGTTAAGTTACACTAGATGAATATGGTCAGAACATTCACAAAATCTAGTTTGGTAATAAGGACACTTCATGTAAAACGTCGCTCATAGCTTCAATGTTTGAATTGCTATAATATATTTTCACAGGATATCAGGATGCCGGAAAGTTTTTCTCCTGATTTGTCAGATTTTCTATCAAGACTTTTGAAAAAATCAGTCAGTGATAGACTGGGTTGTGGAGAGACTGCGTAAGTGAATCATATTTTTATTTGTTTTAACGGATAACCGTTTATCACCCTCAGATACCATATTGACTGTGGAGCCAGAACTCGAGATTTAAGAAAACTCCCAAACTTTAGTGCCCGGCCTTCATATAACAAAATGTTCGCTGGAAAAATTTACTTTTTATTCTTTTTGCTGGAAATTTCAAATCTGACACCCAAATTTTAAATTGTTGACTAAAACACGAGAAAATGAAAATTTCCACTTCAGAGTGTTTGGTAATACCACTCCAGTACTAACTTCTCATACTTCCATCAGACGGCAATATTTTAATTTTAACTATGAATAGAAAACTGTTGTCTGCTCGCGGATTACCCCATCGTCCAAATCCATGCTCTTTTAAATGATTAACCAGTTAGATTTTTCTATACAACCAGCTGTTCGAGTGAGAAGCCATCATTTATCATATGATTAAGCAGCTTTATGTACTTTTTTCTCCCCTAGTCATCGATTCCATAAAGCTCTATTTCTTCATTAATTTAATATTGTCATATTATAGATGCAAATAATAATCCTTCATTTAATTTTTTCAGAGTGGAGGAGATACAAAACCACCATTTCTTCAGTGGAGTAGATTGGGGACAAGTTGAAGTTCAAAAGGTGAGTTGAATGTTCTGAAATGTGTTCATGAGATTATGAATGAAGCCAAAATATGCTCGTTTGAACCAATAAAAATTGTGAAATTGTGTTCTCAAACAATATTACATTGCAATGTAGCCAGTTGCGGCTTTAATAGAGACATAATGACAATGCTTCGCCGTTCAAATTGTATACTAAAATGCTGAGCGAGCACATGTTTAGCATCTTGAAGGTGGATTGGAAGGTACAATAGGCAATTATCGTTAAATATAGATTATACTGACCTAGAGGTTTATCAGATTGCTAACTTTTCAGAAAAATAATATGCAGTGGTACTGCCTAATAAAATTAATTTCTCCAATGTATATTTAAATTTTTTTAGTACACACCACCTCTAGTGCCACCTAGAGGCGAAGTAAATGCTGCTGATGCTTTCGACATCGGAAATTTTGACGACGACGAAACGAAAGGAATTAAATTAACAGAAGATAATCAAGCCATTTATAAAGATTTTGATCTGACTGTGTCAAGTCGATGGCAGGCTGAAATATGCTGTAAGTGTGTTTGGGGTTTTCTACCGATAGCTCTGAGCAACGGTTTAAACTAGTGACCTTGAACCGAGGTACAGTCAGTACATCCCAGAGGTTCCGCAAATTTTCCTTTCAAATCCGAGAGTCTGTATAACTGTATATATATTGTTTAAATATAATCGAATACCTACTACGTTTGGCTCTATTATTAAACTTGCTACACTTTAAAGATCATCACGTTTCCAGATATTAAGTTTGGTTTTAGATACAGGGTATAACGCAAAATTAACAGAAGTCAAGATGAAATACTACTTAAAACAATTAACGACTGACAATTTCAACAGTATTGAATTACAGTAAAATGCCATTTAAACATTTCACAACTGACGCTTCTTAACAGTTACTTTTTAACGTTGCCATGATGAAAAATTTTACCTTAATTTTGATTAATAACTTTTTTAACACCCTGTATATTCATAGTTTATGCAATCCAAACAAAAAAAAGACAATTAAATTATTGAGGGGAAATTATTTTATTACTATGACACTTAAAAACCGCTGGTACTAATACACTGAATTTGTAAGTTTGAATCACGAACTGTTTTAAAGCTTATTGGGAATCTAAATATGAAGTCCTTTTTGTCTCACTGGAATCTCACTCATATTTATCTGAAATATGCTGCAAGTGTGTTTGAAATTTTTTCATCTATAGCTTGAGCAAGGCCCTAGACCAGAAGCCATTGATTCGAAGTAAAAATGGTGATAAGTGGTTGATATAACTGGAATAATCCGGGTTTATAAATTTGGGCCATGACTTCATGGTTCACTGCAACTGATATCTTGATGTTATGTCGCAAGAATTTCCTTGCCATCACACGTCTGATTATCCTGTGCGAGTTCGGCAGTTCGAATCCCTTGGGGTAAAATTATACCGGTATTCGCCAGGATTGCTTAAGCCCTCACCACTATAAAGTAGTTCTCCTGACTGCTTCCTGCACCATCAGGTTCATGCATCTTATACAAATAACTGGCTAATTACTCCAATACCTGGTATGGACCGGTAACCGGACGAGAGGCTGTCTCATCGGCTTCCTTCTCCCACAAAATAAATATGGAAACCATAAAATTCTTCCCCGACTGGGATACGTTACATTTGAATATTCGAAAATTGTTTCTTTATCAGTTTTCCTAATATTATTCAATATTCTTCTTTTCACAGCAACTGTGTTTGACATGGTCAACCATGAAGCAGATAAAATCCAAATGAAGAAAAAATTGAAAAGTAAATCAGTGGCCGAAGGTAAACATATTTATTCCTCGAAAATGTTTAGAGAGATCAATTGTTTATTGTAGTAAAACAATTGGGAATAAAATGTCAAGTATAAATAAGAAGTCACTCTTTGTGTTGGGGATGCCCTTAATATAAAATATTCAAAAACATTCGAAATTAGTTATATTTGTTGGCGCTCCCGTAGTGTGTGCACCAATATGGCGGACACTGAAATGTAGTATGTGTACCAGGTTGGGGTTAGGCCATAATTTTATTCCAATTTTCCTTATTTTAGTTCTATTACGAGTTTGGGGATTAGCCAAATAACTCCTGTAGTATTTGTAATTGAAATTATGACCTAACCCTAACCTGGTACATGTACTAAGTTCCATTGTCCGCCATCGTGGTTCACATACTACAGGAGTACCTATTTGATATTTCATGATTTTTGCAATTTCTTGATTATGGGACAGATTCAGGATATTTTTTATTTGATAAAATCGATTCCTAAGCCAATCTTCCAATTACCAAATGACAGCATTTAGAATTATATATTGCAATTAATATTATAATAATTTGATTTCAAATATTCTTATTTTTGACTGTCGTGATATCAGCAAACAACCCTGACAATTTGATAAAAAATTTCAACCTATGATTTCAATGGGAAATGGATGAGCTTATACAAGAAATAGGAATTTTTAACTGAATTCATTATGAATTCTCAAAGTTGATCTTTTTCAAATAATATGAAATTTGAATTATGTTAAAATAGATTATGAGTACAGTCATCAAGAGTTTTAGTTATCGTTTCAACTTCTCCATTTCAGGAGACACTGATTGCATCTTATATGGTATTGGATATAAACTAGGAGGCCCGTTTTTAACAATGTGGCAGAAGCGTTGTCTTTTATTGTTTCCGAATAGACTTGAGTGGAGAGATTTGGAGAGTTCCTCGGTAAGTGTCCTATATGATTTGAACTAATTTGAAGATATTTATGTTTGATATTATGAATTCTAGATGATGGAAATGATCTAAATCAGGGTTTTCCAAAAATTTTTGGCCGTGGAACCTTGTTTGTGAATCTTATTTCTGACAGACCCCCATCCTATGCCGTATCAATTTCTGTGGCTAACTAACGAGGTATACCTCATATACGATAAAAACAAGAATCGTCGTTGCGCAACAACCTTTCCTCACCTATTGTGAAGGTTTCGTAACAATTAGGCCTACGATTGCGCGAACTTCTATCTCGTTTTCGAGTGTCTATGTGACAGTCGACATATGTTAAAATGTATTTTGACTCTTTTCATGACGTTGCGGACCCCTGTGCGGTCATCACGGATCCCCAACGGTCTGTGTACCCAAGTTTAGGAAACCCTGATCTAGAATATTATGTTCTTAGTGGAGTGTAGCGTGGTTGTATGAACTTCTACCCAGTGTTATGGTGGACAAGAAGGGCTTTGCTGAAAAGCTCGACATGTTTAAATAAAAAATATTACATTGAAATTTTGAGTGAAATATCTGATAGAGAACAACAATAAAACTAAAAGCAATAGGCTTTTAGTGACTTCAACCATTTTTGATAACTGAAAATTTGAAATCAGTTGTAAATTTGGAAATTTTTTGAAAATGAAAACAAGACTAAACGTTACAGAAATATAGTTGTGTTAGTGTGTGGCAAGACTCGTGAACTAGTTTAAACGTTGCAAAGAATGTAACAAAAGAAGCTGAGTGTGTTTTGCCGAGTGTTAATTAATTTACAGCAATTTAAAAACTATTTTTTTATCTCTCCTTCTTTGCAGTTCTCTCTACCATCAAGTCAGAAGAACTTGATAGTATTCGAAGATGTTTTATCTTTATCCGAGACTTCGGTAAAAGGTTTCAAACAATGCGTTCAACTTGGAATGAAAGATGGAAATAAAGATATTGTCTTCAGATTTGAGGTAAGTTTCAGCAAGGGTTCACTTTGCAAAAATGGCGTTCTGGCATTACTGAAAATAACGAAATAAGTCAACCTGGGCGCTTAGTTGTTTCCTGGTTTGACAAAATATGGGTTAGCGCAATGGTTTGGTAGGGCGATGGCCTAACGGTTGAAGCATTATTTTTAATGATGAAACGATGGGCTTGTTATTCTTGCACAGATGATTGAATCATGGTTAATATTTCGTTGACAGTAGGTCTCAGTTTTGGTTCTAAATGTTTTAAACCTGATAAAAATCGTGTCCTCACATAAGTTAGTGTCGAAAACGATTTTTTCTGTGACCCTCATTGAGTCCTTTTGGGACCCACCAGGGGGTCTGGACCCCTAATTTGAACAGCCCTAATTCATACAACCATCTATTTCTTTTCCAACAGTCCGAGCCTGAATTTGTACAATGGATCAAAGACATTGGTGTAGCATGGCATGAAGCGAATTTACTAATGAAGAAAGGACCAAAACTAATCGCAAGTAAAAGATCTGTTTCAGAAGAAGCTAATTATAATAAGGTAACAAAGAGATTTTACATTCATTTTGTATTGCGCAAGCAAGAAGTATTGTTTATATGAGTTTTGATATGGCGCCAAAATGGATTAATTTTTTAAATGACACTAATATCATCTTTCGCTCTTCACAAGACCCTGTTCAAAGAGCAGCTTGGCAGTGTGGCGTTAGGACTACGATCGCCACGCACTTCTGATTACCGTGCAGGTCCGAATCCTGCGGGAGATAATTATGTGCGAGAGGATTGCTGTAGGGTGGTTCACATAACTGCTGGTCGGTTACAGCTTCCTCCACCATCAAGTGAATCTGAAACAAATAACTGGCTAACTAATAACCAACATGGACTGGTAACTGAACTAGAGGCCGTGGTTCGCAATATGGTTAAGCCGCTGTATGGCCTTTCCTTTCCCCCAGGATAAATATGTAAATCTTATCCACTGATATTGATATGGAAGGTGCTACTATTTTTTGGGAGAACTGTAATTTTTCAGTTTAGCATTGCATGGAATTTGAACAGGGGTGTAGCCAGGAATTTTCAAAGAAGGAAGGGGGCTCCCGAAGTATGCGAACCAAGATGGTGGACATCGGAATGTAATATGTGTACTAGGTTAGGGTTAGGCCATAATTTTAGCTATAAATACTACGGGAGGCTCTTGGCTCGTCTTCGAACTGATAATAGGACTAAAAAAAGGAAAATTGGAAAAAAATTATCGCCTAACCTGTTACCCATGTTACGTTCCGATGTCCGCCATCTTGGTTCGCATACTTCGGGAGCCTCGAAGGAGGGGGTTCAAGAATTGCCAAGTCAGACTGTAACTGCTAGTGAGTCTGGCCCGAAAGCGTGGGTTCTCGAAATTCTTGAGGGTTTTAAAAGCGTTTCAAGTTATGAAAAAATGCTATGTATGCTACAGAAAAATGGGACCTCCAGAAGTATGCGCACCAAGATGGCGCACAACCTGAAAATGGTATGTGTGTACCGGTTAGGATTTAGGTTGTACGACATCTTGGTGCGCATACTTCTGCAGCACCGAAAAATGTTTATTTTCCACGTTTCAAAAGGGGTCCGTCCAACCCTCAACCCCCCACTGGCTATGCCCATGGATTCGAACCCAAATGTGTAACCTGATGAGTGTGTGTGAGATTTGTATTTCTATCAATAAATGTCCAAACAGGCGCAAGGCATCACGATAATACATATAACGAGAATATCGGTTGGAAACCGAAGACTTATCGATCGATAGTTAGGGGATCCCCCAAAACAGAAACTGCAGTTTCGATTCATCCGCTCTTGTAACTTGCCCACTGCGCATCGCACACACACACTCGGCGGGTCTAAAAATTCTCTCGCTTTACAAAAATCTAGATCACTATATCAATAATTGATTGATAACTCGCTAATTATACGACATAATTCGACCAAAATCAATAGGCTTCTGGTCCGAGATAAGATGAATGCACATGCAAAATCTGGAGCAGATTCAATCACGTCTTCGTGAGATATCGCGTGCATCTAACAGACAAATACCTATCAACATACTTACCGATTAAAATCGATAAGTAATAAATAGGATCCTGATGTTTTTTATCAGAAATTATAATCATTGGCAAAATCGATATTTTTTACCTGATCTTCATATCAATATTCTTGAGAGCAATATTGCATGGTTCAATAGCCTTGCTTGGTTCAATAGTCTTGCTTATCTAATATATCTTCTCATGTTATCTTTCTGTTATCTTATCTCATTATGTTATCTTTTCTTGTTATCTTTCTCAGGCGATATTGGCAGCCCAGACCCGAGTAGCGACGAGCAATGCACTGAACCACACAAATTTACCAACATATCGGCATAAACTTGTATTGACAAATGAAAAAGATGAAGGGTCAACGAACAGCTAGATTTAATGAGTGAGCAAAGACTTTAAAAAGACAACAACTTCAAAACATTCCAGGGTTTTTAGTCCCAGGAATATAGTATGGATTCGTTTAAAAATCAAAAAAACGCCTCAAAACTAATTTCTTGGGGTCTTGTCTGTGGCAAGGAATTAATAAATCAATTTCTTCCTGAGAATGAATAAATTTTCGACAAAAAGCTGCCACGATGGGTCACAGACTCTGGTTATGTCGTGGGGATGAAATGTTTCCTGTGGTGTGTATCAAATTTTACGCCATTATATTGACTTATGGGTACAATAATTTATAGACAGAATTTGTATTTCTATGGTCTGCTTAATAGAGGATCATGGAGGCTCATTAACAATAAAATATAAAGCTAACACAGAACAGTAGTACTGCACTTGATAATAAAACCTTTTGAAATCAAAATTTTACCTCAAAGATCCCTGGTTTGGTTAGGTCATTGATCAAAGCTGCGGTAACATTATAAATTTAATTGGCTATTCCATACTGGATTCTGACCTACCTAAACCTGTTGGAAGGCATTTGAACGGCTGCTCCTTGGAAGTGAAATTGTTTAGCACCTCATACTAAATGAAAAGCAATATATTTTCCTTGTTATGTGACTTTCATTTCTTTGGGCTACTATTTCAATATGCTTCTATCGAGAGGCATCTGGCTTCTTCACTACTAGCAAGTCCTGAACTAGCAGCCATCAATTTTATATACAGGGTTGCCCCAAACCATGCTGATGGTTATTGATAATTATTCTAAGTTATTAAGTTAATTAACTGCTACCCTACTTTTCATCCCGCAAACATTGCTAATATGTGTTTATGGTAGACTAGGATCATTCCAGCTTGACATATCCAACAGAACATTTTTTCTCCCTTTTTGGGGTGATGAAATTGGGCTTGATTTTGACATCTTTAATAAAAGATATCGACATAATAGTATCCTTGGAGTTTAATTTTTCAACATCCTGATTGAGGTTTGAACCTGTGATCTTTGCTACTCGATACAGGCCATTGTACTTTTAATTTCAGCTCCAAACTTCCTACAGACCCTTACTTAAACGGTAATACTAAATGCATATTTTATATTTAGTTTCATTGGCAGTATTGTATTATACTTCTTTATATGACTTTGTGAATCTTGGGGTGATGGTTATCAAAAAAAATAGGTTCTACTAGGGATATCTGTATCCTAATAGTTGTTGATTTCAAAAATGCTTCACCCGATTTTGCGTTAAAGCCCTTTTTCAATTAAAAATATTAAATTTTCCTGAAACTAATTTTTCGGAATTTCATCATTTCAATCCTATATGTCAGGGATAGGCAAATTACGGCCACCGAAGTGTTAAATCCGTCCCTCTTGCTGGAATCACGACTATAGTATTTATGGATATAAATTTCCATTGAAAATATTGACAAAAATAACATCATAATGACCCTGATTGTTGCAATGTGCTCCTTATTAATAAACATTAGCCTAGCCGGTGGGCTAGCTCAGTGGTCGGCAACCGTTTTTAAGTGACGATATATCCTGATCAAATTTTTGGCGGACCGCCTTTATACAAATGGACTAAGCCTATGTAATAAAGTACGTGTTTCCTACATCCAGTCTACTTCGATATATTTCGTTTTTGTAGTTGCCAATATTAAAAACCCGGCCTCAAATGGATATGATGCTGTGGAAGGTAACAGCTTCTGAATCTATATTTGGCCATTGCTTGATGTTCGTTTAGCAATAACTAATGCGTTGTGTTTGTTTGGTTTGCTGTTTTTAGTCATGGGGTTTGTGGTTGGATTGTAGAGGTGTTATTCGGCCCCTATTTGTTTTTGTGTCACCTTTCTGCGGACCTTTCCACCTTTCCACGGACCGGCGATGGGCCGCGTCCTGTTGGTTGACGAGCATTGGACTAGCTGATGTTGATGAACTGTTTTAGTCATACTTTTCCATTTAGTCATAGTTTTCCTTGATTTTTGAGCCTTCGGCCCAGTAACCAAGTCTATTATCAGCAACTGGCCCACTTAAGAAATAATTGTGCCCCCCTGCTGTATGCCATGCATGAATACACAGTAATTTACCTAAAACTCCTGATGGAATAGCTATTTATGAGTTACAATCTCTTGCACACACTACTATCAATATTTTTACACAAAATTAATTTCTGGGTTGAAATACTAAAATTGCATCACCTACACTATAAGGAAATGCTATTTCAGGTTTTTTGCCAGTTTTTCACTTTTTATTATGAAAAGTTTGTTTCGTGATGTTTATGTACATATTTAAATTATGATAATATTCATAATTGTTGTGTCATTATTGAGTATTTTAGAAATTAATTATTCTGTAACAATTATGTTGTTGAAATTTTGTGACGAATTTTTTATTTTGTGTATTATTTTAAAATTTTCAAAATAGTATTTTTTTTATTCTTTTCTTGAATATGCCGTAGAGACCGAGATCAAATATTATTTCAACCAACTACTCTTATTACGAAACTTTCAAAATCACTCATTAGAAATTTCTCTACCCTTCATATGGGATTCATGTTTGTTATCACCGACTATAATCTATATATCCTGTCTTTTTACCATATTTTAGATATGTGTAAGGTGGGTACATTAAAACAGGGGTTTCCCACCATGCCAAATTTTCTTTATTTGAAGGTAAATTTGACCTAACTCCGGGGTAAAAATAGAAAAACTGTTGTTTTGTGAATGCAATCAATTTCAAGCATTTACATCCACAATTTTACGTTAAAATTCTTTCAAAGACTTATTCGATCATCGAGTTATCACAGGCATATGTAAAATAATAAAAAAATTTGGGGATAAGTAAATATAATCAAGTATGTGTTGCAGTGCGCCTCATTAAAGGCCTGGTAGGTAAATCTATCTCTAAATTTGTCTCATTGTTCCCCCGCTATTATGATAGCCATATCAAAGACTAAACACTTAAGATTCTAGGACATATTGAATTATCATATTTCTCCCTGTAGAGAAAAGCCAACATAACGGCTTAATCATATAGCTAACTACTTGCTATTGTTTGGTTACCTGTCCATGTCATATATATATATAAGTTTTGGCCTATATATATATATATATATATATATGTATGTTAGCAGCTAATCAATGAGTTGTTCCAAACGTTTGAACTGAATTTCTTGCTGTGCATAACAATACATTATTTAACAAGGCATATAAAATGTCAAATTTTATAGTCCACCATCCTACTTTAAAAGAAACGCTTTAATATCATTGTTGTTGGAGTATCATTCATCTAAATATTTTAAAAACCCATCACTTGAGAAGTTCCACAAAATCTTGTTAAGTAGTTAGAATCATTTCACGCATCATTGGAGAAAGGTTGTAGAAAGCACTTAATTCTGAATGCGGTATTAAACATCCTATGAACATTGATCTGTTATTCTATTCTGGTACTCTAAATCTGCACTTTTAACTGCAACCTTTTTTATTTTTATTCGTATTTTTCAGAAAATTCTTTTCAATATTAAGTCAGTAATTTTGTCTCCCCTTTATGAAACTTTTTGCATAGCATTTCGCAATGTTCAAGGCCACCATCCGCCCACTTTGTGTGGGTGTCTCCTTATGGAGGAAAACAATTTGGTGTTTGCGTTGTAGGGAAAACTCTAGTAATTTTTTAACATGAAGGCATTAATTCTATTTATCCAATGGCCACCATGCCCCTAAAAAATGTAGTGTCCTTTTTCAGGAAAAACATGAAGAAATTGATTCAAGATAAAGGCATTGGTTCTGACTATCTAAATAAACTTTCTATAATAAAATTTCACAACAGCTGTGGAAACCATGACACCATTCCCTTATTCCCGTTAATGAGAAAAAACAAGGTTAGATCTTATATCAATAAGTTTATAAAAATGAACTTGGTGGCTCTAATCACTTTGTTGAACTTCTGGTGGACTGAATTATCAATTTGAATATTATATTACAATAACCAAACCATTGGTACTTATTATGGGGAGTTCATTGGATGTCAAAAAAGTTACAAACAACCATAATTTCTTGAAATGTTTAGTCCAGTTATTACTAAATTGGTCTAAACTAATGTTTTGATGTAAAAATAAAATAAATTCGTCTGTTGGGAAGTTTTGGCCTGTGATACAATATATGAACTATTTTACTCATATAACACTGAAGTTTTAAAAATGCTTTTGCATTTGGATATTTCGTTTGTTAATATAAGTTAACTATTATTCAAACACTTGCTGTTACTGCAAGGCTGTGGGTTCAGCTGAATTCTGACCCTATGGGAGCTGTTGTAGCAGTAATATCAAACTATGAATGATACTTTTCAGAGCCAATTTCGATATTAAATAGAATATTTTTACATTTGCCGTATCCTTCTGTGAGTTGATCATTTTTGGAGATGTAAAGAAGGCTTATGTGAAAAATCCTGAAGATTGCTTTAATATTATCTAAAATCAGTTTTTCACTTAGTTTTCGTGGTTACCTTAAATGGTGGCATATTTTTATTTTTAATATTCGTTTTTAATTGTCCCTCATTGATATTTCTTATCTATATCACTTTAATCGTCCTATTTTAGTGAAAATTAATATTGTGTGCAGAAATTGCAATACATTATATTGGTTACATTTGTCCCGTTTTTATGATTTGTTTTTTCGTTGCTTTGTGTGTATTCTCATTAGAACACAGCAGTCTCAAACTGCATTTATATTTGTGGGATATGTCTGCAGTTATATTTGTGAGTATTCAATTATGTATCCTTTTCTATATAGTCTTTGTTATACAGTTACTGTTACATGGGGCAAACACACACTACACGCTAATCTACAGTATTTTAGGGAACATAGGGCGTCGTTCTATAAGGCGCATTGTCAATAAATTGCGCAAATAAATGAAGGCCAAATAAAAGTGAAATGTTCGTATTATTATTATTCAATTAAGTCACTTAAGACATAGGTTCTCAAAGTGCTCTGTGCGGAGCCCCAGGGCTCCGTGAAAGAAACCTAGGGGCTCCACAAACTAATTGATTACTGATCGGCTAATTTTGTAACTGTCCAGAGAAGCAATAACAACATTAATGAAATTTGACAACTGTGGCGTCAAAATATGGCAACATAGAGGCAATTATATATGTATATGACATTATTTATAAGCAGCAGCGCAGCCAGGATTTTCAAATGGAGAGCCGGTTTGAAATTTGGAATCGAAAATTACCGCGCAACATTCTTCGCAATTAGGCCACTGGTTGAAAAAAGACATTTTAAGCGGATAACGAGTTTTCTGTTGCATAAAATATTCAATCCGTGGCCGATGCGAATATCTATAAGGGGCGGTGGCGAGCGTATTCCCAACCAGTTGTAACCAGCTTGTAAGTGATGCTTCTGGGATCAAGGGTCGGGGGAAAATCCGTATTGGCCTGGTTTTGACTACAGGCTATAAAGCACTACCTGAACATTGGGCTCATGAAACGGACGGTCGATTTATAAAAAAAAAGGGGTTTCAAAGTACGCCTTATGGTGCGTAAAATATGGTAAGTATGCAAATTCACATTTCGGGCTTTCTGTCAAAGTTCTTCAGTCCACTTTGTCCTGGTTTTAGTAGGTAGTCCAGGTGACTGCGTTGAGACTAACAAAATTGGTTTGGCGGGCGAGTTGTCTTTGTTGTGAATATGAACTTGGTAGTCGGTTGACAGCTGGGTGAAAGAAGCAAGCTCAATTTCAAAGAATCGGAAGAAAAAACTGGCACAGGTGAAGACTTCGACTAAAAAGGTACCATGTGGCTTGTCATATATGGATTTTTGGGGTCTCATGTACTTTCTTACCTGAATAACTTCTAGTGGGCGTGGCGTAACAATTTTTGGATATATGATTCATGACCCCTACCTGATGACGTCATTCAAAAATTAC